AATTTTATTTAAATAATATATCATATATAATATATAATACGGATTATTATCATGCATAATATCTAGTATTTAAAAAGTTACTTGCTGAATAATAAACATGCTTATTTGTGAATATAAATAAAAGAGTTGGGCCATGTTTAAGTTTAATTCATTAAACATTTGAGTTTTTAAATAACATTCAAACTTAATTATTTAATAGTTTGAATAAAATTAATCGAATAGTAATTGAGCTGAGTTTGAATTGTTTATCAAGCACATTGGTTTAGTCACCAAGTTTCTCTAAAATTAAATCCATATGGTATGTTGCGTGCTGAGCCCAATACATATGTTGTCTTTCATCCATTACTTTTTTCTCAATCGCCCTATGAACTCTTAAAATTATATATAACAACTTGAACAATAAGGTGCTCTCTGTTCTCTATGACTCTATCAAGAAGTACAAAAAAGTATTCACCATCTTTAACCTTATCTGAATTCAACATATTCCAAGCAAATAGTGTTGTGCGGATTATTAATCAAAATGTTGATCGAACTTGTATTCTTGACGCTAGATTAATCTTTAGACATAATTGCTGTTCCAATTTGATTTCAATTTCATTTGATCTTCCTCAATGCTCTTTTAAGTATTACGCAGCTTCTCTTTTAACACTTCAAGTTTTCAGATCATTTATAGATGGTGGTCTCATGTATGGATCATAGGAACCTATGGCACGAATCATATTGAAATACAAAGGGGAGTTTGCCACATTGAATACAATGACATTTTCATTAGAGAACATCTAATATCCATACAATTATGCTTCAGCTCTCATTTACTTTCAAGAGACATTTTGTCAACAATCTTTGTATCATCTTTGTTATCCTCCACATTTATGAGTTATTAATCTATATGTATTTGTGACATCTACGTGACATCTAAAGTAAAGTAGATGTTGATTCTTTCCACTAGGCCCGCCTTGCATAATACGAGCTATATCCACTCTATCGCCAAACTATAATTGTGCTAAATGCTTTGACATGGAGTTCTTCATATATGCATGGATGACTTCTTTAACCACCTTTGGTACCCATTGCATATGGTGTAAAAGTCTTATGAGAGCCTAAATGTTCTCCCTCACTTATATAACACTCCCTTGACAATTTTCTTGTAATAACTGTTCTTCAGATAAACATAAGTTTTTTTATTCTCTCCAATGTCAACTTACATGCTATGTATCTATATCAAATTCTTTCAACTTACATGCCTGAGGAGTGGAAGAAGAGTATTTTGGTCTCCGTTTCTAAGAATATAGGGGATGCACAAGAGTGTGCAAATTATAGAAGAATAAAGTTGATGTAACATAATTCAAAATTATTGGAGAGGGTGATTGAACATAGGTTAAGACATAATTCAAAATTATTGGATAGGGTAATTGAACATAGGTTAAGACGTTATACAAATATTTCTCATAATCAGTTTGGATTTATCATAATCAGTTTGGATTTATGAATCAGTTTGGATTTATGCCAAACAGATACTATGAAAACTATACATTTATTGAGAGGTTTGATGGTGAAGTACAGAAAGAGTAAGGAGGATCTACAAATGATTTTAATTGATTAGAAAAAGCTTACACTAAGATTCCAAGAGAAGTTCTTTGGGGAGTTCTAGAGAAAAAAAGGTGTTGATATGACTTGTATTCAAGTCCTTAAAGATATGTATGCTAGAGCTGGTACTTGTGTTCGAAGAGGTATTTTCCTATTTCAGTTGGATTAATTGACCTAGTATTTACCTATTTCAGTTGGATTACATCAATGATCGACTTTAAGCCCATGTTCTTTTTCTTTAGTTATGGATGCTCTTACTGGCATTTACAGCAGCATGTACTTTGTTGTATGCTTTTCGCTAATGATATCTATGTTTTTCACTATAATATCCTTCTTGTGGATAAGAACATAGAAAGAGCTCAGGAAAATCTTAAATTATGGAGGTCTACATTGGAGTCTAATGGCCTTCGTTTGAGTAGAACAAGTAGATATAAAACTAAATACATGAAATTTAATTTTACAAGTAGTAGCTTTAGTGAAATTTGTAACTATGGGTGATCAAATCATTAAAAGACGTGATCGTTTGAGGTATCGAGGTATCTCGGGTCTATTGTTCAAAGTGATGATGATGTAGATGGGGATGTTATTAGCAGAATTCGAGTTGGTTGGGTTGGTTGAAGTGGAGGAATGCGGAATGCATCAGGCCTATTGTGTGGAAAATTTTATAAGATGGTTCTGAGACCTGCAATGCTCTATGGCGCAAAATGTTGGCATTTAAAAGAGAAACATAAAATAAAGTTAAGTGTTGCTGAGATGAGAATGCTTAGGTGGATGAGTGGCTTGACACTTAAGAGACAAAATGCGAAATGAATATATGAGTGGTAGGGTTGGTGTAGCTTCAGTGGAGGCTGGCGGACAACAAATAGAGTTATCTTAGATGGTTTGGTCAAATTAAATGTCGACCATCTAATGATTCGGTCAGTAGAGTAGATATTTAAGATTTGACTTATGTTAAGAAAGACAAAGGTAGACTTAAAAAGACTTGGACATATTGTAAAAAAAACGATCTTAATCTGTTAAAATTAAATGAAAATATGGTATGACACTCAACAGGATGCAAATGGAGAAAAACGATTCATGTAGCCGACCCTATTTAATGAGATAAAAGGATTGTTATTGTTGTCGTTGTAACTTCTTTTCCTTGCTAGATTAAGCAAAGTTTATTTAATAAATTAATATATTTTTAAATAATAAAAACAAGAAATATATAAATTAAATAAATTAGATTTAGGAATGAAGAAAAATTAAAGCTTAGGGATTATTGCCAGGAGTAAAATTAGGAGGTGTGACAATAGTAGAGATTGTGATGGCTACAAATAGTGCCAGTGCTTTAGGTTGTAAAGAGGGCCATTGACAATAGCTGCATAAAATCATGATGGTTGCTGCTATTGACATGATCGGTGACGGCGGCAGAGGAGGCCGGTGATGGTGTCATTGGTGGCCGGAGACGACAGTGTTTGAAGATAAGGGCGTCGAGTTCCTTCAATGGGTTAAGTAGGCCAAAGGCTATGTGAGGGGACTTGCGGGTGAAGTGGGGATAAAGATTTTCTTACCACTTGTTGAAAAATCCCTAATCTACATTGCCTACACCTCACATATAATGAGGTGAGGTGCACCTTAATTGGTGTGAGGCGTATGCCTTATGTTGCTTCAATGATGTGTTAAGGCTCTTTACATTATTTAGTGAAATAACAAGGCACACGCTGCACAATTTTAAAAATAGTTATAAAGTGATTGCTAAGTTTATTATTGATCAAATGAAATTTGTCTTTCTAATGATCATTGTTTTCTACTAGCTCTCCTTCATATTTCCGGTAATATTTTTATAGCTTTTGAAATCATAAATAACTTTAACAAGCATCATTCTTCTTTTGTGCAACCTGTTCTAAGTTCAAGGCCCAATGCATCCATGAGGTAAAAAATAACCACTTTCTTCTAAGCATTTTTAACACAACTATTGTCAGTTCCCAAGTCTCGAATGTGAAAAGTTTAGGGTTGCGTTAGGTAATATATAATCAACATAAATTTTTTATTAAAAAAACTGACATGAAATTGAAGCTTTTATGAATAAAGTTAATTAATTGTGTAATAATAATGTACAAGAAAAAAATAAAATAATTGGCAATACTAAGAATTTTATTTTTAATGATATTATGATATATTAGATACTAGAGGGTGAAGGATTACGTATAAACTAGCCAAACGAAGAGATAAGCATTCTTGTGTCAAGATTGATTTGGATATAACTATTTGATTGTGTCAATATAGAGACCCTTAGTCACACTAATCAATAATTAAAGCATGCATTTCTATTGTAATTTTCAGTAATCATTAATGGTAAGATTCATTAGTATTTTAATTCTATTAATAATTTTAAGGCAAGCTGTACTTCTCCTTCTCTTCTCTATTGTAATGAATCATTTTACTTGTATGATTGAGGGTTGTTATGAATTATGAACTACATCTCTATTTCTTCTCCCTATTTTCATACAAGCAATTTCATATATGCTGATATCCTATATCTTTTGGGCATGTTTGTGATGGTACTTCTACTTAAAATATGAAATATGTTTCTCTAATTTTATGGGTAACTCAACTTCTGCCATATCTTGGGCATTAAAGCTCTATGCTTTCCTATTAAGTATCTTGATATAACTCTCAAAAGTGGCAAATCATCTGTTTATTATACCCATTATTTCTTTGACAAGCTTAAAAATTGGCTTGCTGGTAGGGCTGTCAATTTGGCTCGTCGTTCGTGAACATCTATGTTTAAATCATAACACCTCATGTGACAATGTGGTTTGTGTATTCTTTTGTATATATTTGATCCAGGTTCGAATCCCGCACTTTACATCTATTTTTCTTAATTTTAGTTTAACAAGCCAATTTCGAGCCGAACACGAGCCGAACATGAACACATATTTAAATTGAGCCGAACACGAAGACACTGTTCACGAGCCGATTTCAAACACGTGCTATTTCGAACGAGCCGAGCACGAGCCAAGCCTGAGCTCGCTCAAGCTCGGCTCATTTACAGCTCTACTTGCTGGTTTGAATTAAACAGCCATTTTTCACCTGGAAGGTAGCTTTTTAACCCTACATTCTCTGGTCATGGAACTACTTGATTTACTTGTTAAGAGACAATATGACCATGCTTCAATCTGTCATGAAATTGCAATACTACGATTAATATGGCTTTTGTTAACTTCGTTGAAGATTTTTTTAAAAAATAATTTTGTAAATTAAATATATTCAAAAAAATGCATTAAAACTTATTAAAATGCCCCTCTAAATATACTTTAAGCTTGAAACTATTTTATAATTTTGATTTCAGACCCACTAGAGGAGCTCAACTAGTGGAAATTTTAATAACATGCTTCAACTCTTAACAGCACAAGTTAACTGATGCAAATGCTAGCTCTGAAAAATGTCTACCAAAAGTAATGGTGGCAATGTATGTATGCTAGTGTTTGTATACATTATATAAATTACATAAAATAAACTTTATCTTTGTAAACCCTGCACAACCTCCCCCTTTCGATTTGCTTCCCATGCATGTATTTCTTCTAATCATACAATAGCTCATAAAAAACACATGAAGAAGAGCAAAAATGAGAGGGAACACATATTTTTGGTACATTTCAAGCCACAAAATCATACCGAAATGCAAGCCCATGCCCCTAAACACCTGCATTGATACAGTGGGATGGAGTTTCTTAGTCGTGAGAGCTCATGCAAAGCAGCAATTTGTCTTTATTAGTAAGGAGGGATGGCCTACATTCAATACCCCTTCATCCAAAGAAAAAAAAAAAAAAATTATGAGTCACTTCCCAAGTATAAGTTTGTGAATAAAACATTTGAAAAATGCCTCAAATAATGAAAAATAATAATGCTAAAAAGTTTGCACAAATTTTGAGGAGTTCATAAGATAGAAGTTGATAATAATTAGACGACGACAATAAGCCTTTATTCCACTAAGTGGGCTAATAAGATTATTAGAATTTATCTTTGCATTAGTTTTGAGAAAGTTCATCATTAATAATAATAATAATAATAATAATATTTAATACTATTTCAATTATACATCAATTCGATCAAGGGTTTAGGGGGCCATCCACAAAAAAAATAAAAAATAAAAAAATAAAAAGAGAGGGGAAAAGAATACCAAGGATTAAACTTTTTGAAGGATCTTAACATGTGTTGATCTCATTTTTGTTTGTTTAGTCTTTAGTCTGGAATAGAGCTAAATGTCACCTCAATTGTAACTAAAGATACAAATGCAATGGGAATTGAGGAAAATGAAGGTGTGACCAATAACTACATCTCAATGTAAAAACCATGATATGATGATGAAATAAAAGCCACAAGTCAGGAGGCTAGAAAAATAATTAGGGAGCAATGTAGCTTAATCATCATAAAAAAGGCTATCTAACTATAAAGCCATCACTAATCCCCTGCTTGAAAGTCAAATCAAGGTATCGTTAAGGCAACCATGGCGCCCGAAAACATTGAAAAGTGAACCGAAGCAACTCAGTCAAAATATTCACTAAGCTGAAGGGAGTACCAACAAAGAGGTTCTCCAATACCTCTAACTGTATTACAATTATCAAACTCATAAAAAAAAGGAAGCGATAAAATACAAAAAATAAAAAAAAGAGAAAAAAATTAGAAGTGAGATCCAATCGCTAAAGAATTCTAAATCATATAATGGAGATAAAAAAAAAAAACTAAGGGAGAATTAGTCATTCAATTCCAACTGAACTACATCAATGATTGTATAGCCACCCCTTAATCCCAACAAATCAACAAACTCAAGAAGAAACTCTAATATCCCCACAGGTGGAGCGTTAAAATATCAAGTCAATAGGGCGTGATATTTTTCATCTTTTAAGCTCCAAGCATCTCAAGCAAAGACCAATTTCAATGCTCCTGGATAAGCTTCCTAGCAAGAAGAGGGGTTGATAAAAAGCCAATAAAGTACCTTTTTGTTGTCCCTAACTATTTACCAAAAAGCCTCGCAACCAAATGACCACCAAAATATCTTACAAGTCATTCTAATAGTGCATAGCCAACAAGGTTCATCCCGAGGAATTTTAAGACCTTTACTAGATCCCAAATTTCAATTCTGAGCTAGCTCCCTACCGCTAGAAAGTGGTTCATTTTCCCTCTAATTAATGGAAGAGTTTCATCCACCTGGCTTGACACCAAATACTTAATCAAAACTTCAATTAGGATGCATCAATAGGAGTTGATAAGTTAATTTATGTCGGTATCCCTAATAGAGTTGCAATCTCCTAGAAAAAAATTGAGAAATAAAAAACTAAGAAAAACAATCAATAGAAGAGAAGCAAGGTCATTCTATGTTTTTCAACATAAAAATAAGGTCGTCAATTTAGACAACATATCTCATGTGATTCAATTTAGTTATCCCATAGTTCCGAACAGAGCTAGCCTCATTTGTCATCTTCAAAGAATAAAAAATTCAAGTCACACAAAATTCAATCGATTTTCATCACAGAGAGCATTGGTTACTGCAATATAGTTCTCAAGGAAATCACCAAACTTTCTTAAAGAAGATAAGCTAGAACTTCATTTACATTTTTACTGATGGAGTACTTTAATCCACGGGGCATATCCTTAGTTGTCCCTTAATCCCCCAAAGACATCAACATTTTAAGAGTTTGAACTATAATTTTAATGTAATTCTTACGGAGAGTGTTGATTTAAAGGGGCCTAACAACAAATAATAATATATCCCTCATTTTAAAGGTAATCCTCAAATTTAAGCAAAAAGAATAAATAACATATGAGTAGGAAGCAGAAAATCAAATGATATGTCATAGGCCTAGATAGCCAATAAGGAAGCTTGTACGTTTGCAAAGCTTCAAAAAAGTTAAACTAAAAGGGAAAGATCAAATATATTCAAGTCATATATAATATTAGTCATATATATTAGATGTAAGCTCTTCAAACTAAGGCCAAGCATGGTAAATAAGGCTAGTTTCAGCTAGATCAAATATATTCAAGTCATTGAGAGCTCTCTCTTGCCAACAAACCTTAAAGATACTTATGCAGGGATGCAATCACCTAGTTGTAGAATTGGGGTTTTCAGAGTTGCTTCAAATAAATTAGATGTAGCATGGCAAGTTGACGATAACTCCATGAAGGTTTGACAAACTACTAAATGAATCGAAGCATTGAATGGACTTATTAAGCCTCTAAGAAAAAAATGGCCTTGTTTTCAATATTACAATTTGCTTCTAAGTCAGATTATTAGCTCAAACTTCTGATAAAACATCAACATTAATTATTGTATATTAGTTTGCTAACTCAAAAAGGCATGTCAAAATTTATAAGAATAAATATTAAGGAAACAACAGAATGTGGATGTCAATCAAATATCAACACTCGAGCAATCATAAAGGGACTTACAAAAGCAACAAAATTCAAGTCTAGACATTATAGACCCCTTCAATTTAACACTCAGTCAAGTTCAAAAGGTAGAATCTAATGCCCATTTTAAAATGGAACTAAAACGGTAACTACAATTTTATATCGCAAAGAAGAAGGCAACTTCAATGACTTCATAAGCCAAAACATATTGACAGACCATTGAGACAGAGCTATTGACTATCACATGTTCCTATATGAGGCACATAAAGGATAGTAGGCATATCTTAAACAACTAGAAAAGAGAGCAAAAAGACAGAAAAAATAAAAGCAAAAAAGGAAAAAAAAGGAAAATAAGTAAAACAAGAACGAAAAGGACTAATTTGAGATGTAAATTTCAGAGAAATTGCTCCTTTAGAATGGCATCAGGCAATGATTGTACTGCTAATATCTGATATAACCCCCTTTATAGAAAAGAGAAGAGTAAAAAAAAGAAAAAAATCGCAGGCGCTAGTTAACGCCTTCACCTAGAATATTAAAAGTGAAAAAACAAAGTAAAAGAATTCAGAAAACATAAAATCTCTCCAAGTAGGATTCCATACTACAACAAGTAAGTTAATAACCGACCGCTCTACAATTGAGCTATTGAGGAAGAACCGACTTCAGGAAGCTTGCTCTCGTTCTTTGGACCATGAACAATATCAGTCTGAAGCTTCCTTCATAACTCCAAGAACTTCTTGGTAATGGCTCCGTTCCATGCCTCATTTCATAGGGAACCTCAATGTGGCTCTCTCCCTAATTCCAAATGAGGGCATCAACATATCGGTGCATAGCTATTATCATCCTACAAGTGTTAACAAAGCCTTCATCTAAATGGATCCCTTTCTATTAGAGTTGAAATAGTGTTTTGTACTAGGATTTGCAGCAAAATTGTACCTAACTAGGTTGACATCGTGCCTCGTGTCAAAATCCTCTGAAACTATATTTGCTTGTGATAACATTAGGCCTCATGTCGAAATCCCCAGTAAAATCGTATTTGCTTGGGTCAACATCATGTGTAATGTCAAGATCACCAACAAAGTTTCACATAGTTAGGTAGGGATCCATAGTTTTAAAAAAGAACAAAAAAAAAAAAACTTAAAAAAAATAATAAAAAATTAATAAAAAAAGAAAAACAAAACAAAACAAAAAAGAAAATAAAATGGAAATAAAATAAATGAGCAACTCACGACTAAAAAATATTTAGAACAAAATATGAAATAGATCATGTATGAAAAGAAAAAACATTTCCAATCAATACTTCATGGAAGTTAAATATGTAAGTTGGAGTACATGCATATCCATTTTGATGAAGCAGATGAGGGGCAAGAAGCAAACAAGAGTACAAGGAAAATACTGAGCGCAATTACAGCAATACAAGTAAAAAATCCCAATGTAGTCCATGTTGTTCATACCCATTTACATGCTGACATGTAAGAGGATACCTAGCATGCGTGTAGTTTGTTGATGTTCAAGTTTTTAATTATTAACTGTAAATGAAACAGCATATACTGAGATTAGATAGTGTTATATTAGAAGAATAGCACGCTTTTAATGTAAAAAAAAATTATATCTCGGTAAAATAGACTGAAATAATTAGTTATATCCTGCTAGACATGACAAGAACATAAGTTATCAAGATACATCACTTTGGCAGCTAGCTGAAATGAGAAGAGAAAGCTATGCTTAGATAGTTTTTATTTATTCGATCGCATAGATGGGGGATATAATAAAGTCCCCATTGTAACGTCAGGTCGTAAAAGAAATTATAAAAGGTTAAACGGAGGTGTTGGTGCCAACTTAGGTGAGGGGAAAGTAAAGGAGATTTGGGGAAGTTTTGTTAGGGGGTATCCGTAAACATGCAACGGAAATATCCTGTTGTATTTTTCTCTAATTTCAATCCAACCTCTCAGCAGAAAATACCTATAACAAAGAAAAAAAAACCGTATTCCACAACAAAATGTATTTAAATGGATGTTTTATCAGATGACATGTATTATATACCTAGAAAAAGAGCCGATAGAAAGAATGGGATAACTTAGAGGTAGAACAATTTACTGGTAAAAATTAGGTAAGGAGTGCAGGGCTTATAAAGGGATATGTTTTTTGGGTCCGGTGATTAATATGAACTCGCCTGAGTGACTTTATATCAAATCCATTCTTATATCAATCATTAAAAAGATTTCAAAAGAAAGAAGATACCTTCACAATGCCATCAACTAATGTCCGTTTTTGAAAAGGATGACTTAGATGGTACTAATGCAGTGTCACCAAAGTATGCCGTGATTCCTTTCAAACTAGTTTCCATGTAGGTCTCTTCAATCTGCCCAAGAAAATAGTTAAGAGCTAAAGAAGTTTTGGTTTAACAGAACAATTCAAAGTAGCTCACTAGACATGGTGTATTTTTCATACAGCAAACCTAGTTACTAATAGCCATCAACCATCTCAATCTCTTAGAGAAGTAAGTCATATAGTGAGACCCACATGCTGTTAAGAATTGCGACAACAAACATCATTGGCTAGAATAAAGTCATATACTTGCCACACCTTCAACGTTAATGGTGGACAAGATAGCCAAGAAAGCTCTTCCACTTGACTTAAGTCCACGTTACGGGGAAGGAACATGATAATGTTGGGAGTTATTTCCTGAGCAGCCTGAAATATCAAATACCTACAGTTACACAATCATAAGTGAACTTAATGTGACAAATCAAATATTTAGAAACTGCAAAATGTAAATGCCAATTTAGAAACTTAATATGTGAATGCATTATTCTTATTCTCCCAATATCCTGAACTTATTATGTAATGATAGATTTTCTTGGTTCTAGATGGCTTTTAATAAATTAGGATTGAAATCTATGATATTTTAGACCTTTTTTTATTATTATTTTACAAGACTCTAGGTTTACAATTTCTAAATTTTCAATGCTTAAAAGCATGGAGCTAATGGTGGTACTTCTTTAGATTTGAAGAAAGAGCAACCTAGCTTTAGTAATGCGAGTTAAATCAGGAAGAAAATTATTAGAGTTATTGACGCGGGGGCTATGGGACTGAGCTGATTCAACCTGGTTCGGCAGAAACTCCGAGGTGGGGGATGAACTGATACAGTCCCTCCTCTCTCTTTTATTAGGCAGGAATTATTTCCCCCTTCTTTTTTTGTTTCACTCCTATACATCTATTATAAATATATATGTTTGTGGACTTAGGGTTTAGTTTTTGTACTGAGTTATCTGTTTAGACAGCCGTCGGCGTCCTGTTTCCCTTTCTAAGGTTGTATCCGACGGTGAGAAGTTGTTCTGCTGTAACTCGTCCCGAGGTGGTGATTATCAACGACTCCCATTGCCTCGCAACCATTATGTCGTTGCCGCCATCCCATCTCCCCACTGCAGTTCTGCAAAAGAACACGATATTGTTCTTGTAGCCACCTGCTAGCTCCTCCCGCAACCCCTTCCTCCCTGTCGTCACTCCTTTTCCCCTTTCGAGCATTTCCTTGCCACATCCCCCCCATAAACCCACACCTGTAGTCACACAGACTCCTCTTTCACCTTACAGCCGCTGTTGTCCCATTTATTCCCCTCCTATAGCCTTCCTCCCCTTCCCGTAAAAACCAGCCACGACATCCAACTCCCCTATCTTGTTGTTACCCAATCACAACCCCTACTCAGCCCTTCCCCTGCATCTCTTGCTAACCGCAGCCAACCTAACCCCCTCCAACTGCAATATGATTGCCTCTCTCGTTCGCTCACCTCGCAGCCAGCTGTTGTCAAGCCCCTCCAATCCCCCTCACCTCACATCTTCATTCAGCCACCACCTCACATCGTCGTCCTTACCCTAGGGTGTCTGTTTATGCTTGTTTTCTTCTATTTCTTGTTTGCAAATCGTCGTCCTTACCCTAGGGTGTTTGTTTATGCTTGTTTTCTTCTATTTCTTGTTTGCAAGTGTCTGTGTTGTAACTGTTTTGCATTTCAGCAATAAAAATTTACATTTCTATTGTGGTTTGGGTTATCTTCGATATCAGTTATTTAATTGAACAAGGAAATAATTAGTAACATCTTGATCTTTAAAGAGGCAAAACAACCATAGAACTGATAGTTTGCAAAGATCCGACCTGGGCTTAGAATTAATCAAGGTGGGTACAGACTGAGAATTAAATTTTATATAACTACCATTTAATAAGTGAAATAGCCACTAAAGAAATTAAATTAAAGCAATACAATCAAATTTACCACACTAGATTGTTAGTGTCTTCTATAAATATTATATCTTCGATTACTCATGTTTTAATCAATTAATTACATTTGAAAAGTTAACTTAAAATAATTGTGAGTTAACCAAAGTCAGTAAAGGCTGTCACTCCTAAATTATAGTAATATAAAAAAAATAATATGTATGCTAGTTAAACTTTTAATAAATCAGTATAAAATATTTGATAGTTTATGAATATGACCATTTACAATAATTCAAGTTATTCAGGATTTTACTATATCAATAGCATATCAATATCATTTTATATAAGTACAATCATCACAGAAACAATGTCTAACAATTCTACAAATTAAGATATTTCAATAACAATATCCTTTTACATTTACATGCACGACAATCTAGCGTCCTCTCGCTAGTATTAGAAAGAGATGACTTTATCATAATCAAATATGCACATGCAAACACATTATTACAGACATTATTTAGTACATTCATTCTCATTTGTATAAAAATCAATATATATGTATACAAATCAATAATTTAAACAATAATAAGTATGCATATCACTAAACAATATGACAAAATTCAATAGAATCATAAATCATGGATATCTAGTGCTACAAATATAACAATAACAATAAATGCATTTAGTCACGAAGAAACAAATTATTATTATAGCATAAGAATATGAACACTCACCTCAAAACTGTATGACTTGTCATAAATATTGAAACTCGCTTAATCTCATCCAAAATAGTTAACTGCCTACAACATCGTGAAAAAGTAATTTTAAGTATATCATTAATTATCTTTCATTTACTTTTTTTCATTTTTTATTACAAGCATTTATTTTAAGTATTCATGTTACTTTAATTTGATCAACAAAATTAAAATTAAATCAACACTTATAATTAATTTACACTCTAATTTAAGATAAGTAATTGCAGCCTTTATTTTCATATTTTAAATAAATCTATCATATATTTATTATGCAAACTATATAATATATTTTATTAATATTTGAACCTTAACAACTCATCTAAAACTTCAACCGTGCGATATTCTTCTCATATGGCTTGATTTCACGGGATCATCACTGTGTGCAATTTTGCTACTTCTCCATCGCACGCAGAGGATGCTCGACTCGTTATTCCTTCACCCACACACTAGGGTTCAGTCGAGAGCGATGGGCTTCATACGACAGAAAAAAATCGCAATGACCTCTCAGATTGTAGGATTTAGAAGAGATTGTCGACTTCTCAAATTGTATGTGCTTATCTTTTATATATTCAGAGCTTTAATCGTTGATTTGCTTTCGGCGGAATAAAATATATATTATTCCTATCCTAATTTCTCTGAAAAATCATCTTGAGTCGTATTAGATGGATACAAACTATTTTGGTTCAGAAAATTGTCTCCTATTCAGATTTTTATAATTCACACAAATTCAAATGTGTTGAGCCTTGAACATAGGACTCTGTCATTGGAGATAAGCATCCCATCACTAGGCAAATGGGTTGTACACTTCTTAAGAGCATTCATGCGAAACTAAAATGTTAGATTTTTTTATGAACAAATAACTTGGAACAAACTAAAACTCTACAGTTAGAATATCAAGAGCATATCAACACTAACTATAGAGACACTGAAATTATTGTTTTAGTTATATGCAGAGCTTAATCTGCCACAAAAGTGATTAAATCATGTCATGTTAATCTACAAACTGGGTGAACAAGTGCACAATTACCGTTTCACTTTTTACTGAGAATAAATAGAGGGATGAAAAATTACAATCTTCTTTCATAGATAACATGATTGTGTACAGGTCAACATAATAGAAAACTTGACACTGTTTAATGTGCATAGAAACTACAAGGATTGATAGGAAAACATGGGATAAATAAGCATGAGGATTACGGCTGGTGTTCTGCCTGTCTCTAAGGGCAATTTAGTCTTTTGTGTGTCTAAGAAAATTAGTAGAGAAAAATGATGGTGTTTTGCCGGTCTCTAAGGGCAATTTAGTCTTTTGTGTGTCTAAGGGCAATTCAGTCTTCTAGTATTTATTATTGTTTAGTATAAAAATGGCTAATATGCTTAGGTTTAGAGTTATGTATGAGATTATTGTCTTTGAGTCTTAAGGTTACAATTTGGAAGAGATTTCCTACCTCTCAAATTGTAGGATTCGAGAGAGATTGTCTGTCTCTCGAATTGTAAGTGCTTATCTTTTATATATTCGGAGTTGTAATCGTCGATTTGCTTTCGTGGAATAAAATATATATTATTCATGTCCCGATTTCTCTAGAAAATAATCTCGATTCCTATCAGATGGATGCAAATTATTTTGGTTCAACCAGTTATGTCCATTCTTCATATTTCTCATTATGAGTTTGTTGAGAGTAATTAACGATGTAAATAAGAACAAAAAAGAAATAAAACTATTAGCATCACCAAAGCATACCCGTCTTTTGGCTTGAGCATATCAAGTGTGAAGGTGTGAATTTTGCTATATGAAGGACCACCCCAAGGTGGTGAAATGAACACAACATCACCCTGTAATAAGCAAAATAATGAACCTTGTTATAACATAAATGAAATGTATTAATAAATAAAAAATTAGTTCTACTTTTTCTTTCCTATCTTTATATCCTTCATAGTAGGCATGGGTTTTTTCATATAACTCGCACAACCGAATGTGTTGGGCCTTGAACACAAGACCGTGTCATTGGAGATAAGCATCCAACCACTAGGCCAAGTCACTTGTTCACCTCTTACAAGCATTTAATGAAGCAACTTTTTTTTTTCATGAACATATAACTTGGAACAAACTAAAAATCTACAATTATTGGTCAATTAATGCTATAATAATCCAACTGAACGTCTCTTATAGGTCACTACATAAAAAAATTCAAATTTAAATTGTTGTAATAGTAGTTGCTTATATGGCATCTAATATGGTAACTTTTAAATTAAAACAATAGTTCAGTACTCCGTGTTTCTTTTGCGCTTCAAATCTCCTACATACTAAGAAAATGGTATTTCATTTGGAAATAGTAATTTATTTATGTCTAAAACAACTTAATATGTGGAATAAGGAGTTGACATGGCATATAAAGAGTAAGAGTCGTTTTATTCAGTGTATTAGAAGTGTAAGGTAAAAGGAATGCATGTTTTAATATTATGAGTTTTGATATGGAGTAAAATAGATAAGGAATTTGGAATACCCAATAGCTCATTTCTTGATAAATTTATATTTTGACTAAATTTGGGATACTCGCAATATGTCATCCTTAGCCTCAAAGATGACACAGAATAAAAAAGCAACTCCTATGACCATGATCCCAACCTTGCACAACTATCTTACAAGACTTTGACCTTGTGTCATCATCCCACAAGATACCAAACCCGTGTCACTATCACTCGAGACCTCAACCTCATGCCATCATCCCACGTGATCAATCCCAGCCCAGTTCCAACACAACCCTTAGCTCACTTCCACACCACCTCCAACTGAACGTCTCTTATAAGTCACTACATAAAAAAATTCAAATTTAAATTGTAGTAATAGTAGTTGCTTATATGGCATCTAATGTGGTAACTTTTAAATTAATACAATAGTTCAGTACTCCTTGTTTCTTTTGCGCTTCAAATCTCCTACATACTAAGAAAATGGTATTTCATTTGGAAATAGTAATTTATTTATGTCTAAAACAACTTAATATGTGGAATAAGGAGTTGACATGGCATATAAAGAGTAAGAGTCGTTTTATTCAGTGTATTAGAAGTGTAAGGTAAAAGGAATGCATGTTTTAATATTATGAGTCTTGATATGGAATAAAATAGATACAATGTTTTTTGTAAGGAATTTGGAATACCCAATAGCTCATTTCTTGATAAATTCATATTTTGACTAAATTTGGCATACTCGCAATATGTCATCCTTAGCATCAAAGATGACACAGAATAAAAAAACGACTCCTATGACCATGATCCCAACCTTGCACAACTATCTTACAAGACTTTGACCTTGTCTCGTCATCCCACAAGATACCAAACCCATGTCACTATCACTCGAAACCTCAACCTCATGTCATCATCCCACGTGATCAATCCCAACCCGGTTCCAACACAACCCTTAGCTCACTTCCACACCACCATCCCTTGTCTCAGGCCTTCTCCAAAGCATTGTCATCCAAAATGCCATCCTCTCTGATGCCCGAGTTTTATATTTAAATAGGTTTTTAAAAAGTTAATCTACATTGGCATTGTAAAAAATATTGCATTTATGCACTTATAAATTGATGATTTAATAAAAATCAAATTCATCTTGCAACAAAGCAAACACAAAATCGGTCTCCTATATCAATTTACAACTAACCAAACAACCTTAAAACAATTAGAATGAATTGTATATGGCTCACACTATATTTTCAAACTTCAAGAATCCAAAATACTTGCAATCAGGAAGACCGTAAGGTAATAATTTGTTCATTTAAAGAGGTAACACATTAGGTTCCATACAAAAGCATCCAACATGGCCATTTTAAAGCATAGCATTTAACTTCAATAGTTAACCATACAAAATCCTATATA